CAGAGTTGTCTCCAAGTGACCTGGCCTTATAGACTCAATTTTCAGACCTAAATTGAATTTGTGTCTTGTTTATCCCAAGAGTCCATGTATCTGAGACAGGAAGCAGGCATTCACTGCTACTTTTCCTAATGAATAAACATAAAATTTCCTATAGTCTAGTTCTAACCCCAATTTTAATACATAAGCCCCCATTTGGGTATTGAGAAATAGTCTGTAGTGTAGAAGTGACTTTTTCTCAGTCTCCAATCTTCTTTGGTAATCTGTTTGCTTCACTATTCTCAGTGAGTCTTGAGACCATCCTCAGACTTACGAGTTGCCTATCAGGCACCATCCTCATGACTAGCATCTCCACTGCTCTTTTAAACACATGGCATATAATATGCCTGTTACAGATGAGGCAACTAGAGCTCTAGGAGGTTAAAAACTTGAACCACAGTCACCCCAGCTTCCCTGATCTATAGGGATATAAGGATACCTTGAGGTCTAGGCCTGCCCTTTACAATGTCATATAATCTGATACTTGAGATTCCCTTTAAAACACATCATTTTATGCCCCAGCACACTGCACTTCCTCTAGGCTAGTTCTAGGCTTCCATCCCCAATTATGTCTCAATGACAACTGTCTGAAGCCACACATGATTCCAAAGTATGACTGAACATCCCAAGGGTCAGTGATGTAAAGCTTAGCCATATGTGGTGTGTAAATTACTTTAGTGACTCCTGGAGTCCCATGGAGGGCCTTGGGCATCATCTGGAATGATTTAGAGGGGCAGAGGGAAGACCCTTGGGTACCCTAGGGATTTTACACCCCTGGAGCCAGAAAAGTCCCTGCTTTCTTTCTATTTTATTTATACAATGGATTGGGTAAAACAAAAGTTGGGAAACCAATGATGATGAGATGTTATTTTAGCTCCAGATTACCAGGGATGACAGTCAAACAATTAACAGTATGACACAGGAATTGGCCAATCAGAATGGATACTAGGACTCGGATCTATAGAAGCCACCTTTTAGTTGTTGCATCAAGGAGGGATTGGGAGAGTCATGGGTGGGGAGGTCAGATGAGCCGGGCAGTAGAGGAGCATTAGGGATACTCAGGGAGCTCAGACCACTGCTATTTACTAACCAGTAAGAAAATATTTTAATTTTCGTAACCAGTACGGCAAGCTCTGCAAGGTTACACAGAAAATGAGGATTCTAACTTAGATCCTAATTTCCTGAGGAAAAAATATAAAACTCTTTGACTACTTACTAGCAGTTAACTTACTGCTTTTTAACAATGATCTCAAATGTTGAAAAATAAACGATCTTTCTTGAATCTCTAGCTTCATCAACGACTCATGCCAATGAAGAAGTAGGCATTACATAACTGATCACGGAAAGCACTAATGTACCTACTCTCACATTTATTTATTTTCATGGATTCCAAGACGAGAGGTGCTAAAGACACCTAGTTATTTTTTTTAATATTAAAAAGTTGCATTAATGGACATAGACTGTTCTGTTAGACCTTTTTTTAGTCAGTTTCCGCAAATTCTAGGATCACTGCAGATAGTTACTAAGATCCTGATGAGGCTGCAAGAATCTAATCATTAGAGAATACTTTTTGGGAAAACCATGTATCTGTTTATCATTCTCTAGTTTGTCAATGAGCATTTTCTAAAAGAAATTCTGACGTGCATGATTAGTTACAATAATGTTCTTTTGCTCTCCCTCCGGAATGATAAAGCATAATTACTGGCTTATGTAACACGGTACCTCGCTTGTAAATTTGTGAAAGAAGCTCCTTTTGTTGACAGTTCTAATGTCTGCCATCTGTTTGCATGGGATGAAGCCGTGGTGCTCCCCTAATTGGCCATAAATTAGGTTGCAGCAGCAGGCTCTTGACCGGAGGCTTCAGTTACAGTGGGGTTTTGTTGTTGTTGTTTTGTTTTTTAAGCTGTGAATTCAACTTTTGGTGGGAAGACCCACTTCTCCTCTAAGAGTATAGAAATGCACTGAGTTCTACAGTCAGGCTGTCTTCCTGTGTGTGATTGTCACAAGGACACCCCCCAGGAGCCCACCAATGTTTCATGTTCCCCTCCCACCCTCCTTCCTCCCCCCTTCCCTCCCCTTTCCTTCCTTCCACCAAGTTGCTGAAAGACAGAGCCCTTAGTCTGGGTGATCTCACTTCCTCAGCAGCCACTCACTCCCTGCAGTCTGGATACCATTCCTTTTTTTTGCAATTTTAATTTTTAATTTTTTTAATTTTTAATTTTTTTTAAAAATTTAAATTCAATCTGCCAACATATAGTATGACACCCAGTGCTCATCCCATCGAGTGCCCTCCTCAGTGCCCATCACCCAGTCACCCCATCATCCCCTTACCCACCTGCCCTTCCACAACCCTTTGTTTCCCAGAGTTAGGAGTCTTTCGTGGTTTGTCTCCCTCTCTAACTTTTCTCACTCAGTTCCCCTCCTTTCCCTTATAATCCCTTTCACTATTTCTCATATTCCATGTGGAGTGAAACCATATGATGATGCCATTCTTGATTGAAACCTTTTGCCTCTATCTGTATACCCCTTGGCTTCCACCTACACTGAACACTGCCACCTACCCTTCCTCTTGTGAATCTTCTCTTCCTTTGTGAGGTTTCCTGCTCTGCTCTAATAGCCAACACTTCATTGTCATTCACTGGTTTTTCTCCTTCTGCTTCATTCTTAAATGTAAGAATTTTCCCAAATTCTAAACTTGGTCCTTTTATCTTCTGCTGTTTTTTTTTTTTTTTTTTTTTTTTTTTTTTTTTTTTTTTGCTCATGCTATTCCATCCAAACTTGCGGCTACAGCTGTTAACTCTCCCTAAGCAATTTTTAAGCTAATTTTAATTTAATTTAACTCTAACAAGAACTCATGTTACTTATCTCCTGCAGGGCATCTGTTCTTGAGTGTCCATCTTATATGTCACATTCATTATATTTTTAACGGAATATCACTGTGCTTCCCAAATGGATTTCTCTCTACTACTGGATCTTCTCGATCCCGAGTACACCCCTAATTCCTTTCATGCCCTCTACATTCAGTCAAGGAGTAAGCCCTCTGGTTTTACTTCTTCATTCCAGTGCAGCTCTCCTATAGCTGGTCTCCTGCTGATCACACTTGGATTTACAGACACTAACCTGATATTTGGCCTCCGAGCCCTCCACCAATTCATCTTACACAGCAATCTCAGGTTAGCCTACCAATCCAGTGATACAGTGACACCCTGGGGGCATGAAACAGTCCCGACACTGAGCATTCCTGGGGAAGCAGCCCCAATGTATCTGCGAGCTCACTTGTCACAGCACCTCTGCCAACCACCCTTACGAGTACTGCTTATGCTGTTCCCACTATTTCTATTGCCTGTCCCTCCAGGTCCACCTAACCATGCCATGTCCTTCACAAAGTCTTCCCCGATCCTCCTTAGTAGCAGTGGCTCCCTGCGCTGGCCTCCCGTATGTGGGTGCTCTGGACCCTTCCCACTTTCTGCCTTGCACACAGGCCATGTCTTCTCTAGTAGGTGTGAAACCTCCAAATCAGGATGTGTGGTGCCCTCTGATTCTTCTCACAGCACCGCACCCAATGCCTTGCACCTGGAAGATCCTCAGTAAGAAATTAGGCAAACCAAGGAAACAACCAGTTAGTCATTGCTCCCACAAATAGGCATGGTTTTTCTGGGAACCAGATAAAGAATATCTGTGTCGAGACATTCATGGACGCGCCATTCTACAGCTGTGCCCCTGCTCTGGTTCCTACAGACCCAGCGCTGAGGGGCGTCCAGAATGGAGATCCGTGGACCAGGTGGAGATCCGTGGACCAGGAGATCCATGGACCAGGCGTCCAGGATGGAGATCCGTGGACCAGGGGCGTCCAGGTTGGAGATCCGTGGACCAGGTGGATCCTTCTCTACCTCGAGCTTGCTGAGCTCAACGTGTGACTCTATCATGCTGGACTGCTTGCATTTGGCCCCCATTGTCAGGCTCTACTGGCTGCACGAAAGGGGTGCTTTGTGGTTCTTCCCCTTGGGTCAGGTGCTTGGCTCTCCTGATGGACTCACCCACACACACAACAGTGTGCACACCAGATAGTACACACACATTTCACCCAGGCCCCTGGAGACTCAGTAATCGGATTATTTGTAGCTTAACACATAAAGCACGCAGGCAATGAGACTAGCAAAGACAGAACAGAGGCAAGGAACAATGAGAAACATCATCGCCAACACTTGTATTGACCCTAAGTATACGCTTGTCTAAAATGATGTTTCCTCCAAAAAGCACCTTCCTTAAAAGCTTCTCTTATAGGAATCTGAGGATGAGAGAATGGAGATATCTAACATGCTGAAGGAATGATCCATGTCTTAGTAATACTAGTAATGATTATATATTCTATAGCAGTGATAATCATAATCATTACTCTCCAAATTTACCCGAATAGCTAGCGTTAAGATCCTCCTGGGTTCAGGGACTCCGGGGTGGCTCAGTGGTTGAGCATCTGCCTTTGGCTCAGGTCGTGATCCCGGGGACCTGGGAGGAGTCCCATATTGAGGTCCCCACAGGGAGTCTGCTTCTCCCTCTGCCTGTGTCTCTGCCTCTCTTTCTGTGTCTCTCATGAATAAATAAAATCTTTAAAAATATAAATATATATATATATGTCTCCCCTCCTGGGTACAAAATCCACTGGGGCCCATGCTTCCTCGTGTGTTCTCATTATTCCTCACATTTCTGGGACACTGCATTATGGCCCGTGTGTAAATGAGCTAACTGCAGTGGGGCTTGTCACAGTCACACACCCTGTGGAAGCTCTCAAGGCTCTCAAGACAGAGCCAGCCACCTCCAGGAGTAATAGGGAATGAGAATCAAATATACAGCCTCACTTTAAAATGAAAGAATATCAAACAAATATCAATAACTGCCTAATTCCAAGAACTCAAGCACGTCGCTGATCAGAGTGCGCAGGACGCATAACAACCCAATGTACTCACTCTCTGTCGATGACAAGGCAGGTCACAGCTTCTGCGGCAATTACGTTTGCTGTCCTCACATCCTCCCTACACAGAAACGAGAGACATATTGAAGTTGAGTAACTTTTAATATCCAAGAAGAGAGTTCATTGCAGTTAATTTCAGGGCAGTAAACTACGTGCAGGCCTCTGATGTGTCCCTCCCCAGGGTGAGGCTTGGTTCATATTTCAAATTTCTTTGTCCTGAGGAACCTCCTTACTCTTGCCATTGAGCCCTTCCATTAGAGTCATAACCCAGGAGCTAAATTTTTCAATTTTAAAGTATCATTGATACAAGTGAAACAAAATTTTAGATCATCATGCGCTGTGCTCTTCGGGGAATTGAGGAGTTAACTGGATAATGATGAGGATGATAATGATGTAGGTTAGAACTGTTAAAGGACCCAAAGATATATTTCTGAGATTTGACTATCTAATCCATTTGTGTATGAATTTATTATTACAACCTTGGGAACAATGGATCTGTTTTAATTATCACCTTAGAGACTCTGCTTTATTTATTTATTTATTTATTTATTTATTTATTTATATTTTTTATTTTTTATTTTTTATTTTTTATTTTTTTTGAGACTCTGCTTTAATGTGGCTAACCTTCTGGCAACTTATAACACAGTTATTCATCTACACCAGAGTTCTTGGTTCTTCAAGAATATTTGACAGGTCTTAATCGCTCTGATTGAAATATGCATATACTCCTTAGAAAAACCCAATTTGTTACTGCAGGCGTACCTCTGAACTTCTTAAAGTTCAGAAATGTGTTGTTGTATTTCTCATCTTAAAAATGCGTTCTTGTATTTCTCATCTAACCCGGGGTCAACGACAGACTTTGTAAATCAACATTCACATTTCACCCTGAGCAACTCAAGCTGTCATAGTACCACAGTACAGAAACGTTAAGTTATACTTGAAAACGTACTCCTTCTCCGAGAAAAGTAAAATTTCTAAGTTATTAGGATTAATGGTAGATAGAGGTTTGAAATACATTACAGAGATATATACCAGAATAAATCACTGTTAATAATACATTCTAAAAACCATGATCCACATAACCCAGGTCTCTAATAACAGGCTTTTAAAGTTTTGAAAATAAAGATGTACCCACTGAATTTTTATTTTCTCAAAATACACTACATTCTCACATGTATTTCTGAACCCAGTTTTTTTTTTTTTTCCACTGATACGTCTTTCACTGTTGCTACACCATGCTATGAAAATTACACAGTCGCGGGGCACGTGGCTGGCTCAGGCCATGGAGCATGCAACTCTTGATCTTGGGGTTGTGAGCTCAAGCCCCATGATGGGTGTAGAAATTACTTAATAAAAACTTTTTTAAAAATCAAAAAAATTAAATTACAGTTGCTTTATAGTAACCATTAATATTGAATATTTGGTAAACAAGTCCCCCCCCTTAGTGAAATCAATTTTCAAAAACAGCTTAATGATATTGTTAAGCTTTCATATTTCACAGAGACTTTAAAATCATTTTTCCACTTGCAAAGGAAGTCACATTGGGATTCTGGTAGAGCTGTATCACATTTACACATGGATTTCAGAATAAGGGGTTTTTGATTATATTGATTTTCCATACAATAATTTTCCACGGTTGTTCGGAGCTAGTTTTAGGCTTTAAGTAAGATGTCTTAATTTTTTCCCTAGGTCTGGGTAATTTTTAAGAAGAATCTTTGGTGTCTTAGATCATCGCTTTCTCTAATGAAAGCAACCTTTTCCCATTTTTGTTTCCCACTGGTTATTGCTATTAAAGAAGTGATTGATGATTGCATATTTTCAGCTCACATGTCATACTGAGCTCTCTTCTGATTCTAAAACTTTTATTCTAGTCTCCTCAGCTCCCAGTGTGATTCTCTTTGAGCTTCTCACATCACATCACATCCCCATCTTCCAGCCAAACTGGCCACCTCTGTTCTCTGCTGAATACATCATCCTCCCCCTACTAACGCTTTAGATCTCGGCCAATGTGTCCCTTCCTCCATTAATTAGAAGTAACTAGACCAGGTTCCCTGCTTATCTGTTCTCAGGGCCCTGTGTACCTCTCCACCCAAATACCTACAACTGTTTGCAATCTGTACCTTTATTTGTGTGGTCGCTTGGTTGATGATTCTATTTCCCACCCCTAACCCCCACTAAACCATAGCAGTACAACTTCCATGGCTAGTTTTATTCCCCCACTTTACCCCGAATGCAGAGGCGTGCAGGAGGTACGTAGCAGGTGTGCGGTACAAGAATGGCAAAGGCACGACAGCCTTGAGTCCGTGGGTAGGACTTGCAGAGCGCAGGCTTTGGACTCATACTGTCTTAGTTTTCCGAGGCAAGCTACAAGCTATGGGAAGCCCTCAAAAGGGGGAATGGTAAGGGTGCCCACCCCCTGTAGGCTATTAAAGGTGGTAAAGTAAAGTTTATCAGAATGCCCAGCCCATGGGGAGCAGTGTGCTCTTCTATATATTCTGGTTCTTTCATCTCCTGTGCTGCCACACTGTCTCGTGTTCCACGAAATACTGGAAAGAAGCTATTGATGACAGCGTGGGTATCGAGGATTCCCAACAGAGTGTAGATTTTCTTTCTGAACCAAAGGAGTAGACGATATATTTTCAACCCCATGATCCCTCTCTGAGCCGCAATTTTCAGTGAAGTGGACATGACAATGGGCAGAAAACATCAGTAATGCCTGTCAGGGCTTTCATAAGCCATATCAGTGACTTCTTTCTTTCTTTTTTTTTTTAAGACTATTTATTTATTTATTTATTCATGAGAGAGAGAGAGAGAGAGAGAGAGAGAGAGAGAGAGAGAGAGAGGCAGAGACACAGGCAGAGGGAGAAGCAGGCTCCATGCAGGGAGCCCGATGCGGGACTCGATCCCGGGTCCCCAGCACCACATCCTGGGCCAAAGGCAGGCGCTAAACCACTGAGCCACCCAGGTTTCCCCCCAGTGACTTATTTCTTAGGAGGTTACTCATGGTAGTATGTTGCTACACATTGCTGCTAGTTTAGAAAACCAAAAGAACACCTATCACAGTTTTACAGACAACATCATATTAAATCTGAATTTTCCTAAAATATATTACCATCACGACAATTTAGAAATTACCCACAAAGTCTTCAAAAATATAATAGATACAAAATAATGCTTTGTTCCGAATATATTCTCTGTGCATGTTATTTTTTAAATCACATTGCAAATTTCCAGTACTTTAAAATTTTATTCTATTACCTGGTCTAAACTGGATATACTTTTTAAAGTGAATGCAATTTTCTTGCAGCAAAAAGAAAACACATAACATTTTAAAACACAGGTGGGGAAAAAATAAAAAATTTCGGAAAAGCAAGATAGTCTATAGAAATTGGATGTATTAGGGACGCCTGGGTGGCTCAGTGGTTGAGCGTCTGCCTTTGGCTCAGGGCATGACCCCAGGGTCCTGGGATCGAGTCCCACATTGGGCTCCCTGCAGGGACCCTGCTTCTCCCTCTGCCTGTGTCTCTGCCTCTCTGTGTGTTTCTCATGAATAAATAAATAAAGTCTTAAAAAAAAAGAAATTGGATGAATTTTATTTTAAAAAGGAAAATCTGTAAGTTATGGCCTACGACCAGCCTTAGTACCTAGTAAAGTAACATATATGAAATAAGAGAAGAAGCATAACATGGAAAAACCCAATATATTAAACATAAGATCATAATATTTGCCATTTCTTCAGTACCTAGTATATACCAAGATCTGTATTAGGTGATTCACACAAATCTCATTTAACCCAGATAGCAGAGGGTGGGTATTTTATCTCAAATTTACACACGAGGACAAAGGTTAAGGAATGTGCCCAAAGTCAAACATAGCAGGTGAGTTGTTGCTCTGGAATTTGAACACAGACCTGGTTGGCTCCAGACCCCATGTCTGTCCCCAAAAGTCCATTTCCTTATGCCCGCTGCCGCCAGATTTCAACGGGACAACAATTCTAAATGTATTCTAACGCAAAGTGACTTCAGCACGGTAAGTAGTCATGATGTCTGTCTGTCATCACTAACAATACGGGTAGTTGTTAATAAAAGCAGCATTAGTATGTTTGTGGGAGCTCAACTGCAATGCTAGTTCAATGAACCATTTTGATTCTCAGGGTCAGAGTCTGTATCCGTGGCTATGTCTTGGCCCTGCTGTGTTGCTTTATAATAATGTCACATTACAGTAGGAAATTATTAAATGCCAAGTTTGTTCAGTGCCAACTCATGTTGCCACTACGCTGTCATTGTATCTCTGTTATTAGGGGGCTTCCTGCCTTTATGCCTGTCTGTGTTGGTATCTAGAGATGCCATCCCTGGGCACCCAGAGAGCCTGCTCCTAGGAGAGACAGATTGCTATCTGATCGAGTACTGACATATGCTAATCCCTTATTTTAGGAGAGACATAGAAACTTCTAACGAGAGAATATTCCTCATAGAAGCTGACAGTGCTGTGACTTACTGTGTCTGCTTATTTCCTTTGCAGGAACAAGCAAATATTTGTATTGCGATCTGAGATATTACAAACTCCTAGAGTACCGAGGTCCTAAGAGCTCCATGTTGTTATTAAACTTCTCTCCATCCGTACACAGCTGCTACGATGCTGGTTTCACGCAGCACAACTGCCAAGTTAGCAGGGACTTCACGAAACACTGGTTTCGATGACAGAAGGAGGAGGTGGGGGTGGGCGGGGGGGGGGGAGATCATGCTAGGCTTAAAAACAGCTCTCTTTGATTTCTACTTTTTGTAGAGATCACAGAATTTGATCATTTCTAACAGGAACGAGAGACTTTCAAAGTCTTGTTGATGCTGACCACAGGATAATCTCACAACCAGAATGATAAGATAATGTACAATTAAAAACATCCACCCAAAATGTACCGTCTCTAAACACTCAGCTCACTTCTTTACAGGACGTAAATGTACAGGTATCGACCCAGGAGTCTAACACGTGTGTTGCCTCTAAAATTCAAATCTCATCCTCCTCCATTTCTGTATCTAAAATTCAAATCTCATACCTCCTCCA